TCTAGATCCTCGAGTTCTGTCATTATCAAACCAATGTCTCTTTCCCACCAGCTTTGTGCTGATTCCAACACCAAAAAGGATCAGCTGTGCTGTAGATTTGTGTCTGTGGGAATGACTATGAAGACCCAACTTTATAGTGCAGGGAAACAAGAACTATTTTTGAACTATCAGTCCAGCCATGGCAACGTGGAGTTCAGCACAGCTTACTCTGTTTCTGGACAGAGGTTTGTACCCTGCATTGTGCTCCATATTGCTGGAGCAAAATTGCTAGCAACACCCAATTAAAACAAGCACTGAATGTTTACTCCCCATCACTGCCACTGCTTTGACTGCAGCGTAAACGCACCACTAATGACTTGGCCAATGGGAGGGGAAAATTTCATGTCAGAGCCAAGTACAGAACCAGGAATTTGGGCCATCAGCCAGCTTGTTAGATCACACTGTGTGCCTCTAATGAAATGCATTGATTTGTGACTCTGACAAAAACATTTTTAGGAAATCAGTTCACTGGCTATTTATTTGTGCGTTGGAGCAGCCTGGTGAGGTTGGAAAACTGAGGCAGACACTGTGCTTACAAATCAAAAGCAAAATTTTAAGAATGAGATTAATTAACCTTTGGAATAACTTTTCTAAGGATGTGATGGGTTTTCCATCATACTCTGTTGCACAGTCGATACTAGTTAGTTGTATAAAATATGTGCTCTAGCTCCAGCAGGAGCTCTGTTTATCACCAGAAATGATTGTCTGAAGTTCTTTGGGTTCTGCCACACTTGAGATAAGACTATGTTGTTGTAATGGTCCCTCTTGATGATAAAAAAACCCATGAGCCTGTGACAGCCATTGAGTCTGGGTGTTTGTGATTCTGTGGAGTAACAGACTGAGATCCCATAAGTGGTAGATTTAAAACTGGCAACAATTTTCATAAAGGGGACTACCGAATTACAGACGCAGTCTGCAGAAGTGGACACCCTGCCAATCCTGCAGCTGATAAAATGTACTGTGATGAATTAGCGAGCTCAGAAAGAATTAACCCATCAATAAAATGACAGACTATGTACATTTCAAAGCATCTGGTCAGATCTCATGGAATTTCTTGGCTGCTACATGTTCAGTCAGAGAGAAAGAAATAGTGGGGAGAGTCCATGATCACCTTGTAGTATTTCACTGGATGCCTCAGAAGAGCAGATGGGGATAGGGAGCAGTGGATAAGGTAAGCATTTACCTACTGGGGGTTGGTATGGACCCTTTCCTGGACTGGCTCCTCTTTAATGTCCTTTTAGATCTATATAAAAAGTTGTCTTTTTCTTGTCTGCTTACAGTTTATGGTTGGCTAAATTTCATAAATAACATTTTTTTCAGTGTGCTCAGGTGAACACATCCTAGAGTCACCAGAGTTTAAGTACGCTGTGAAAAGCAACCTTCTTTAAATAGTCTTATGCTGCCTTATCTAGAAATTGAGGCATCTAGAATCTCTAGTGAGTCCTCAAAGTCTGTGTTGCTGCGTTTGAATTTTTTTCTTTTCACGTCTGCTTTCTCTGGGGTTTTTGAGTGGCTGATAACCGTAAAGATCAGAAGAATATCCAGCCAAAACAGACTTGTTTTGAAAAAAAAAAAAGAAAAAAAAAAAGAAAAAAAAAGTGGTGGTGGGGAGGAAAGTAGTTAGGTCCAAACTGATGGCAAGCTTGTTTGTTCATCTTTAAGAAGCATTTACTTATTCCAATTCAATCTTTATTTCTGTTCTGCCACAGACTTGATGTCTAGCAATGTAAGCTGTTCATGTTTAAAAACAGAATTCACCTTTAAATGTACTTAGACTAGGAAAACTATGCCTGGTGAGGTCACTTGCAGAGCAAGAGTTAATGCATCATGCAAACAGCTAAATAAAGGTTACAATCTGAGTGGAATTATTCAGAGCTCAGGGAGAAATCTGGCATTTGCAGTCTGTCACTGGGTTTGTGAAGTCTGGCTCCCTCAGTGTCACTGCCACCCGGAGCCATCCTGCTTTCTGTGTGGCAATAAGGGAGGGGACCCAGCGCTGGACGGTCTTCCTGTAAAAACAGCAAAACCAGGAGCGGTGGGAAGTGTCATGTGCAAGGAATGTGTGGAATGAGGGATGAGTATGAGCCCGTCTTTGTCCAGGTTTCACAGAGCCAGTTCTGGTGTAAATAGCTGCTCTTTCTCCTCTCTTTTCCTCTTCAGGACAGCTGAAGAGCCAAAGTCAGGACAGCAGATGATCCCTGCCGCCCCCGGGGAGGATTGCTGCATGGGGGGCTACGAAGAGCCGTGTGCCTCTTGAGACCTGCCAGTTAAGTATTGCAGTTTCTGGGCCCTCGCTGGTAAGGGCTGCTCGCTTTTCTTTCCCACCAGCAGCCCTGGGAGTTGAGGGTGTCCCTTTGGGGCAGGATACACCCTAAATATGTATGTGATACAGCCAGAGTAAAAAAATGCATCACTTGTAAATGCCCAGGCTTTTTTAGAGTTGGCAATCTCCACAGAGGTGTTGTGCTAAGACTGTGTTTTGCATTTCGTTTCCTTGTTTTGTTTCTATAAGCCAAGCGCTTGGCTGATTGCGCAGGAAATCAACTGCTATGGGCATTCACTTCAATGGGCGAACTTTAAACGAGTCACCAGGGACTGGCTGCTGCTGAGTTCAAAGAGAAAGAGACATCCAAAACCTCTAGCCAAGCCAAGTTATGGTGGGAAATATCAAAGAGGAGAAAACTCGAAGGCACAACAGGGTGAAAGACAGATACAGCTTGGTTTTCCTGTCCATAATTGGTCAGATTAAGGAGAGGCTGGAAGGGAGATTTAAAAAAAAAACAAAAAAACACCATAAAATTTTGCTGAGGGAAGTTTGTTGAACATCAGGATATGTGCTCTAGTGTTTATGTTCTATGAGCTGTGTGCAATAATCTGGGGATGGAAACACGTTTAGAAAGTTAATATGGTACTTGACAAAATATTGGAAAATATATTAAAAAGAATAGTTCTGTGCAGGGCAGAAGTTAGAGCAAATGCCCTACTGAGCTCTTCCATTCATTCCTGCTTTTTTCTTTCCCCAGTGATTTCAGAAGTCTCCCCAGGCTCAGATAACTCAAAGATAACTCACCCCCGCCATGTCCCCAGCTGAGGTAAAGAAGCTGCGTTCATAGAAATGGAAAAAGAGGAGGATAAAGGGGGGAAAAACATAAAGGGAAGGAACAGAAGTCCCAGCACATGTGAGCAGCAGGGACTCCCAAAACAAAGGCTAGAGAAAGATTGCCATCTTCTGGAAGGATAAATATCTGCCATTATTCAGAATACTAAATCTGATATGCGTATATTTTTGAAACCATAGCATATTTCTGATGAATTTATTTTTAAATCTGAATTCTTATCCCTATAAATCTAATTCAGTCTCATTTCATCAATATATATGCTGTGATCCCAGCTTTAGAAACTGACATAGCATCCTGGATTTTAATGAGACTCTCAGCAAGCTTAAAATTAGGAACATGTTAACATTAAGGATTATCAGTAAAGAGATGGACTTTATCTATTCTTGAGCCTGAAACCCAGGCTTTTTTTTTTACTATTTAGAAGCCAAACTTAAGGTGCCCAGATGCGGAGAGACTCACCAATGAAAAAAAAATAAAGATTTCCACTCTCCTTTTAAACAGCATCAGCTGCTGTTCTACCTACTTCAGTAAATTAAGTACATCTGTGTCCAACAGAACCTCGTTATTAATCAAAAAACCTGCAGACTGTCCACGGAGCACAGAAACATTTAGCATTGCTTTCAGTTAGCCCGTCTTAGAAATGATTATCTCTATTAGAGGAGTTTATGCAGTGACGGGGATTAAAATAGCCGCAGAGCTACGGACCATTCTGCTCAGGGCAGGAGGGGTCAGGAGCCCCTGGTAGCAGAGCCCACGTGCGGGACCACGAACCTGTGGGCTCCGTCTGCTGCCTGTGCTGTGCAGGGACTGTCACGGGCGGTGTGACACCCAGAGCTGGTGTCACCCAGAGCTGGTGTCACCCAGAGCTCGTGCCACCGGCCTCCCAGGCTCTGGGCTCTGGTGTTGGAAGCGGGGGATGGACCACTGGTGTCCTCTGGCCTGCAGAGCAGCAGGGCAGGCATGCAGGGAATCTGCCTCCCTCCCTCCCAGTGGTGGTGGGAGCCTCACCCGCTTGGCACTGGGCGAAGCCTCCGTGGGGAAGATGGGGTGCGTGCCTTTGGGATGCTCCTCTGCCTTGCGGTTTGATTCGATGCGGTGCTGCTCCATGCCCGCTAGTGACCGTTCGTTCTCGTAAGAGGTGATGCCATTCTTACTTTTCACTGTTCTGATACCAAACGAGGGTGTGTATCAACACCCTCAGGTATTGTGGGAGCCTTTAAACTTTCAGGACAGGAGCTCAGAGGGAACTTGGGGTGAGTGTGAATCTTCCTGTCTCTCCTTACTAGCTTCCCACATTCATCCAATGTGAAGCTGCTAGGGGCTGGGAAGTTCCAGGTGAACTTCGTGCCTTGGTGCCACTATGAGGGACACCGACAGTCTTCCCCATGCTCCCACCCTTTGAGTTTTGGACTTTTTTGACTCGTGACTGTTTCACATACCTCTGTCACAGTGCTGATGCGCCCATGGGGAGAGCTGGATTGCCATCTCTTCAGGGTCTGAAATCCTCAGTCCTCACAGCAGATGCAGTCGCATAAACTTTCCCCATTTTTTCCTTCTCTCCTTTCTGCAGCTGGTATCCCCGGGCTGGGGGGCTTGTGGCCTTTGCCATTCTGCTGAGACACTGCACAGGGCAAGGGGTGACCTGATGCCAAGCGTGCTGGTAGTTTCTGAGCTAAGGTCACTCGTCCCCTGAAGCACTGGCCAGAGAGCCACCAGCTCGCTCCATACAAGCTCCCAAAGAGCCACCACATGGAGATGGCTGGGATCTATCTGGTTTTTACAGAAACTTTCTACTCAGTCAATACAGGTCACCAGTCTGCACTTAATCCCAGCACCAATCACTTGCCGTATAATCTCCCAGAACAGCTGTGCTGTGATTGCATTGTGGATTACAAAATGACCATTTTCCACAAAACAGCTGCTGGCTGGAGGGATAGCATTTAATAATCACTTGGGGGGGTGAGGGAGGAGGGGAGGAGACAAAGGAGAAAGGGGTTTTGAGGCAATTGGGTTTCTTGGAGGATCTAGAGATGAGCAAACCAGCAGACAAAGCGTGAGTGCCATTTCTGTATTTCTCCTCCAAATTAACAGGACTTCAGGGACTTGCTGCCAAGGTAAATTCAACTCTCTTTCCTTTTGGGGTTATCTAGGTACTGTGGTCAGTTATTGTCAGTAAGTGCTTGGCTTTTATGGAGGGAAACTTTTCTGACAATGTTCTCATGAAGGAGTAGTTCAGATTTGCTTCTCATTCCCTATGTCCTCTGCATCCTTGATCCAGTTCCTTCTTCTCACTCATTTGTTTCTTATATTTTTTTCCCTTTTTTGTTATCACTTGTTCTGAAATTATATGGCCTTTCAACTACTATCACAAATCAACTGGAGAGAATATTTTTCCCACTATTGAAGATTTAAATTAGAAAAATTATTTTTGTCAATATTATGAGTGGAAAGATTTTTTTTTTAAATAAAAGCATGAGCAAACTGAAACCTGATGACAGAAAATCTTATAATCAAGCATTGATGAAAAACTGAAAAACTTTGTGTACTGAAGGTTTCTATTTTCAGATGAAAAATCATGTTTTTGAGGAGAGCAATTTTATCTGTAATTTCCTTTTCAATCATAAGCCAAATTTTCCACTGAAAAAAACCTTCAGTGAGGAATTTGCCACCAACCTTAGCCAGAAACCTTCACATAATTAACTGTTCCTAGTAGGTAACTGCTCTGTGAAAATGGTGACACCCAACATGCCTTCAGATCATGGAAGTCATTAGTTATGATATCACTAAGATGTTACCATCTCCAGGGTGCAGCATCTCCATTGCTGAAAGAAAGAAATGCTCTGGTGCAGAGAAAAAAGGAGCCAGAGCATAAAACAATACAGGAATTTTTCAGGAGCTGGGTATTTTCTTGCCTTCGACGAGAGTGTTCTGGATCAGTTACTGTTTCCTCAGTGTGATGAGATGCTAATGAAGTCCTGCTTTCCAAGAGGAGCTTCAGTATCATCTTTATTGACCACATTTCCGAGCTTGCTGGTTAACAGAACAAATGCTTCTAACTGCACCACTTTTAGCTATGGTGCAGTCACAAACAATGCAAAGCTCAGTCTCGTATCGTTTATTTATAGTAGTGTCCACAGTACGCTGGGCCTTTCTCACACATTCAGCGTTGGGTGAGTCAACCGAAGTTATGTGAAGAGGACGGGCAGCAAGCACTGTCTGCACAAACTGAATCTATTCATGGGCAAATAGATTTTGAGAGTCATAAATAGGAAAAGGTGGGAGTATCTGGATGAAGTTGTGCCAAACATAGGGAGTGCCATGTGGGAAGAGGCATGCGTTGATGACATGAAAGTTGATGTGTGGGTAGATGACATCTAATCAATCCATGGAGTGATAAGTTGGGGTTCTCAGAAGTCAGTGCAAGGTTTTGTAGGAATCGTAAAATCTTAAGCTTCCCTCTGAGTGAGAAAGACCACAGGACCCTGGCACACAAACTGCTTTCTGAATTACTTTTTCCTGATGAGATGAAACTGGGAAGAGTGTTTGTGGCAATGTTTGCTCTTAAAAAAACCCACCCTTTGGCACTTTATGTGAAAGCAGAGACACTGTCGTCCCACCACCCTACCAAATTTCTGGTGTGCAGAGCAGTGCTTGCTCAGGTGGGAGGTGCTGCTCTGGGGTTTGAACTCGAGCTGCCAGCTCTGGATAGCTGGGTCTCCCTCCTGAGCAGGTCACTGCTTTGATGTGTGACCTCCAGTGATCTGGGAACATTTTCCTGCCTTTCCCCACTGTGAAATCAATACACTCCCTACCTCCCTAGTTACAGTAATGAACTGCTTGAAGAAGTGTTTTGGGACACTTGGCAGCAAGAATTCTCATTTCATTGGACAGAGCATTCATCATGCCCCAACTAAAGGCAACACATGGTATTTGGGGAAGTTGGTTAACAGTTTTTTCCTACCATCTCTGAGATGGAGTGAATATGATGTCCCTTTTATTTTGCTCATGTGATCACACACCCCAATGCACTCAGCCCCGCTGTGTCTGCTGGGTCACCCGCTCTTCCCCAGTACAGATATTCAGTGTACTTCGAAACGGTTGAAGCTAACCTATTGCTCCACCGCCCTGGCTTTCAGGAAATGGTTCTTTCGTGCTGGGTGAGCTGTTGGGATGCTGCGAGGAGGGCAGAGTGCTCGTATCCCCTCCCCATAGGTGCGCGCTGGGAAGAGCTGGGATTTGTAAGGCTAGGTGGGACAAGCGGCTGGTGTGACCGTCCCTCCCGTTTGTGTGTTGTAGATGGAGCTGCTGAAGGGATTTCCATGGAGCCGTGCTTTCCTGGCTGTCATCCTGAACCTGCTGGCTCTCAGCCTCTCCACCACCGCCTTGCTCGGCAGCTACTGGTGCACCGGGACCCAGAAAGTGCCCAAGCCCTTGTGTGGGAAGAGCAAAGCCACCAAGTGCATTGGTGTCCCCATGCCGCCTGATGCAGGTGCTAGCAATGTTTCATCCCAGGATGTGGTGCACTACAGCTGGGAGACCGGGGATGACCGCTTTGCCTTCAAATACTTCCACACGGGGATGTGGCTTTCCTGTGAAGAGAGCATGGAAGGGCCAGGTAGCGTCTTGCCCAGGCAGCCACAACTTCTTCCCTTGTATTTACTCCACGGGAGTTTGGAAATGAAAGGTGGGAGGCTGACAACCCTTGGGAGAAAAGCCTTCGTCATTTTCCCAGATGGCATCAGCCCTGTGCTGCTGTGGTCATTAGATTTCTGTCCTTCACTGGAATGTTTACAGAGGGGGGCAAGGGAGAATGGCTGTCTCTGGTGTGCCCTTCGGTCTACAACAGGGGCTGTGAAGTGCAAGTGGTGGTGGTGGTGGCAGTGACTTTGTGATGGCATCATCCGTCCTGATGTGAACTGGAGTGAGCCTGCTTTCCCTTTCCCTGTATGTCCACTCCCAGTCATGGCTTACTTCATGCTCTCCAGGACACATTTGTGTCCCCTCAGAAACCTAAGCAAGGTGATTTTATGCAGTGTTGTCAATTTATAGTTATCGATGTGAGGACTGCAATAGTTGGTGTTCTCCTTAGATCACCAAACTGAAAGGTTTTGTGAATTGAATAGGGAATGGACTTTTCTTAAAAAGAGGGAAAGAGAAGTACTGCCTTACAGAGACAGAGAAAACCTGGAGGGTCTGAACCCAGAGGAACTAAAGTCAGGAGGCAAATTGACCTGAGGATTAGAGCTGCCGTGTTGTAAATTTTTCAGTTGTTTTTGTGATACTGTGGCAGGTTTCAGTTGTGATTTTTTGACCATGTGGGACTGGCACTGTAAGGCCTGGAGTGCGAGGGGCTGGTCGTGCAACCCGTACGAGATCCCTTTGGTGCCTCCCTTCCCCTTTGACTTGCTCCTGCCCAGCCCTGCTGAAGCCCTTCTGCTGAAACCTGTGCCGCGCCAGCACGGGTGGATGCTCTGCAGTGCACAGATGCTCTTTACGGCCTGGCACACACATCAAGGATCAGAACTGACCCGGAAGGTGGCCAACAGGGAGATTTGTATCTAAAGATAAAGTGATGAAAATCGCTTTCATCAGACCCATTCCCCTGAGCCCACCGCCCTCCCTTCAGCTCTCCCCGAGCACAAATCTCTCACCTTCTTTAACTAAGCCACCGTTCTAGTATAGCATTTCTCATTTTCTTATCTGTTGCTGTCAGAGTTTGAAAATAAAGAACTGGTGAATAAAAGCAGACAGAAGGGGGGTGGGAGCAGGAGGGAATGTGCTTGAAACTCTCATGTCCTAACGAGAAGGCTGTTTCATTCCGAGATTTCCAGACATGCTGCGGAAGGAGATGTGTTTATTTGGGACTGCTTTGGGTTGGGGGTGTGTTTCCATGGCACTTGTGGGAATGGGACTACATCCCTTGACAGCTTTCTCTGAAAGACTTGACTGGCCACCGGGCAGCCCTGGAATAACCCCGATGCCTGAAGGAACCCAGAGAGCATGTTACATCTGGATTGCAGCAGAGCACGGGGTAGAGCACACAGTCAGTCTCAGTCCCCTGCTTCCTGTAAATCGAGTACAACCCACCCACTGCCGTGGGTGTTCGAAGCAAGTGCATAGACAACAACAACAAAAAAGGGGCTACTATGTGCAAAAGGAATTTGAGTTGAGCTGGAGAAAGGATTTCATTATTCAGGCTAATCTCAGGACCAGTTTAGATGAGCCATTACTGAATAACCTCATTAAAGTTCTAGGTGAAGTAGCAAACTGCAAGTTAATGAGGACTGCAGATGGCACTAAATTGGGTAGTGTCCTGAGAGCTGTGGATGACAGAAGTAATACAGGAGATTGGGAGAGATTAGAACTGGGGATAGAAATTAAGAAAATGAGATTCTTACATTAAAAGCAGCAGGCTGATACTTCTGGGAGAAAATACTGTGCCAAGTAGAGGAGAGGACCCTCAAATGCAGTATGCAGTAAGAAAGACTTACAGATAATAATGATGGACCCTAAGCTAAGACAATAGTTTGCATCTGGCCAACGTAAAAAGCCAAAGCAAGTATGAACACCATTTGTCCAAATAGCATGCCTAAAATGTGAGGACAGAAGACTGTATTTCTGTGTGATTCTCTGCCACAGAAGAGGGACTCACATCTCTGTCATGCAGCATTTCACTTGGGAAGATTTTTTTTTTTCTTTCTTCTTTGGGAAGCAGTGCTAGGACTGCTCTGCTGAGACTGGGGTGAGTGGGAATTCACATCCTCAGCAGAAGTGGTGGGTCTGCAGTCTGTTATAAGCAACACCCTTAATAGGCCTGACCAACAGTAATGTTGTGAATGAGTAGCAACAGATTTTTTCTATTCACCGTAGGCTTGTAAGATTTACAAATTGCTGAAGTTTTTTGCTGGAAAGGCCACTTCTAGTTTTCCAGGTAGACTTTGCCTTCCCCTACCTTGCCCCAGTGAAGGTCTGGAAAGATGATCAGAAAGAGAGCAGAGGTGAGAAGATCTGATGGGTAGACTCAGGGATGACTGGAGCTATGCAGTGAAAAGAGAGCGAGGAAGAGATTTTCTTTTCCCTTTTGTACCCTGCATTGTTTTGCAAACTAATACCTTTGGCTTTGTGTTTCAGAAGAGAAATGCCGTAGCTTTATTGAGCTTTCACCACCAGCAGAGAGAGGTAAGAGCAAATCCCCATACCTCACTGTAGCTGCCCAGTGCACCTCCTTGGGATGGGGGACCTGCAACATTCCGCCTGTGTGAGGACAGCAGGGTGGGTCCCCAAAGAGCCAGGCATGGAATCCTGGCCTCATGGTTGCTAAAGGAGCCAAGATTTCCTCCCAGATATTTGCCTAAGCCTCTGCCATCTGTGAGGTCAGTGCTGGAAACCTCAGACCCCCTCCCATATGAAGTGGGATTTGTCTCATCTAATAAGTTTCCCAGTCTGAGCTTGTCATCTTGCTGTAGTCAGCAGGAAGGGGATGGATGCCACCTGAGGGCAGTCACTCCCACATACTCTACGTGTTGACTCAGTGCTTCAGTTTTGGGGCCTGACTCCGGACGCTAAATCACCTCTTACTTTGTGATAAGAGGGCATCTGAAAGTTACACTTTCACGGTGAAGTCCTTGTCTCATCAAACACAAAACTTCATTTGGGCTGGAGAGCTTACCCCTCCTGTCATTGTCACAGGTTTCAAATTATCCTGGGGATAACTTCAGTATACCTGGATGTATGTGTACCTATGCGATGGAGATTTTACTCACGGAAAGCTTTTCAATTGGTGTGGGCTTGCTAACTATACCCTGAGATGGAGGCTGGAGGCAAGTCAATTCAGAGGATGTTCCTATGTGAAGGGAAAGGCCTGGGGTGCTGAGCCTGTGTCAGCGTTCAAGCCATGAGAGCAAGGGCTGGAGCAAATGCTGGGGAATCATAACAGCCAGCAGGGAGATGTGTACTTCACATCTTCTTTTTCTGCCTTGTTTCCCCTACTTTAAAAACACTGGCAAAGACTGCTGACCTGCTTTTATAAAGCGATGCGCATTCCCAGGTGAGTGGTCCAGTGCGAGTGGCGTGCAGTGGCATCGCTCTGCGGATTAACCTGGGTCACTCTTGGCACAACAGCAGGGTAGGAAAACCTCCCCCTGCTTATTCTTTTGGGAAACAGTATTCACACAATTCACATACTGCTGGTGTTACAAGATCATTTTGAAGTCATGCAGATCTCCACTCTGTCATAAAATGAATCCCTTAACTGCATTTACTGAATGACTCTTGCATTTACCACAAAATGCTCACTTCACAGGGACTAGAAATGCATTTTTCTTGTTTCTCACCTTCTTGTGCTTCATTCCCTGCCCAGGCCTCTGGCTCTGTTGCTTCCAATGTCTTCCTTATAGGCTGTTTTCCTAAGAAAGGACGTTTATGCAACCAGATTACATGTCTTTGTAAATCTTTCTGTCTGTCCCCCCTCACACTCCTACTGCTGCTTGTCTAATTACAGCCCAACATTGATAGAAAGGCCATGGTCTGTAAGGCATTGAGCTCCTACAAATTAATTGGAAGATCACTGTGAGCTTTAGCATGACACTTGTAGTGACACTGTGGCCTTATCAGCTCTACCACCCACTTTCGCCCCTTCCTGCACATAGCATCATCTGAAGATGACCTTGGCCTCCAGCGCAGCTGCCATTATATAGTTGGGGCAGCACTGGAGAATGTGGTGTGACTGCTGATTGCAGGCTGGGCTGGCTGAGCTGGATGTGTGGAGAGCAGCTCCACATTATGCGGGCAGCATTGCAAGACCAGATCGCACAGCATGTGTGGGGAGCCTGGACTCACAGGGATGATGCAGAGACCTCTGTGCACATGTGGTGCTTGCAGCCTCCAGGACACTTTTGGCAGTCTGACCTCTAATGAAGTAGTCTCCCTGATCGTGCTGCAGCAAGGAAGCCAGCTCCTTTAAGCAGGGAATGCAGCTCATCAATTTCTGCTAAAGAGCTGGGTGACTCTGTGGCACTAATGACGTTGAGGCGTCAAGTCAGTGCCACATTAATGAGGGTTTTCTTCACACTCCTTTTCCCCAGTTGAATGTCTCCTCTACGGCCATGAATAGTTGCTAACAGTAGTGTTCACAGTGCTGCTTCATTTGCCAGATTAGTATTTCTTCCTCAGTGAATCCTGTGCTTTACCACAGCCCAGCATTACAGAGTGCCTTTTCTCTTTCTCCTCCAAGTCCTACTGCACAGTGAACCCCACTCATAATCCCATCATGAAAGCACCTGCACTCTGTGCAAGCAGCAGGGTGAGTGGTGAACATTATTGCCCTAGCTGGATATTCACCCCAAGGAATGTAGTTTCTTTTTAACTGGGGTTTCAGTGAGAAATACAGGCTTGCAAGGGGCTTCCTGAATTCCAGAGGCCAGGTCCCAGCCACAGCTGTGAGTGCACCATCCAGTTCTTTACTTAACCAGTTGAGTCCCAGGTTAAAAGTTGTTTGCTTCCATTGGTGTGATTCAAAACCTACTCTGAAGGTCACTACGCTAATGGGTAAGAACCTTCTAACGTCCAGCTTGGATGTGTTCGTGGCCAACCTATGACCACTAGGTCTTGTTCTAATACTCAGCAGCTTTCCTCCATCTTTTTTCCCTTGGTTTCCTCCTTGCTGTTTATAAATAATGCTGGCTTCTTTACAGACAGCATTTTAGTTCCTCTCAGCTTTTCCCATGCCAGACTAGCCAAGCCATCTTCTGTGACAGACTCTCGGTCTCCTTCAGCATCCTTTGAGCCCTTGTTTACAGCCTGGGGGGATTGCTTTTGGGTGTTTGTTGTTTTCCTTCTTTCCCTTCTTTCCAGAGGACATCCTTCCAGGATTGGGTTGGGAAGGGGGAGTACTCTCCCTTGCACAAGCCATCCTGCATTGATGTGAGAAGTCTCTGGTTCCCGGCAGGAATCCTGTGGCTGTCGCTGGGATCAGAGATGCTGTACATCAGCTTGCTGCTCATCAGCTTCATCCTCCTGATGGTGGAAATGCTGCATACTGGCAATCCTGTCTGTGGGCTGAAGCTCAACGCCTTTGCTGCTGTCTCCTCGGTGCTGTCAGGTGTGTTACTGCAGGCTTGGAATCGCAGCAGCAGGAGAGCGTCCTCTCCCATGCAAGGCTGAACTATACTGCTCTGGCTCCTGCTGTAACTCCTTCGCTTTTTTGTCTTTTGTGTCCAGGTCTCCTTGGGATGGTGGCACACATGATGTACACTCAAGTCTTCCAGGCAACGGTTAATCTGGGACCAGAGGACTGGAGACCGCACTCATGGGACTACGGCTGGGCATTCTAGTGCGTGAGCTCTGAAGTCATCTTCACCTCCCCAACCATTTGGGCTTCAGCCATGCTCCACCCTGCCAAAACCCACCTCCTCCTTTCTTGACCTTCTGTGTTTCCAAAGACGGGTGTACCATGGTTCTCCTACTGCTAATCCCCTGTTTTTGCCTCATTCCCTGCTTTAACAAACAGTTCCTGAGTTACTTAAATGAGTAGCTACCAAGGACTGGCAAAGAAATGGGGTCACAGCTAAACAAGTGCCTTCAACCCTGCTGGCTAACCAGGTTTGCCCCTACACTGGTTTACCGTTCGGTCTCAGCACTTCCCTGTGTGCAAAGGCCAGTGTCATGCTTGTGATGATGCTCTCAAACATGCCTTGTTTTTCTGCAGTTTAAATGAGTTCCATACTGGTTTGGCATCTTCACTAATCAATGTCCAGAGGGCCTATTCCTGCAGCACCAAGCCTAGACACATGCTTAAAGATGTGGACACTGTAGCCAGGAAGAGCAGCTGCAAAAAGCAGGTGGCTCAGGGTTTCTTTCTCTAAAGGCTAAAGAAGCCAACTCCAGCCAATATGCCATAGCTGACTTGAAAAACAGCGGGGTGAACCTTGCAAGTGCCCATGGAAAGTGCAGGCTCAATTTGCAATGCTGTACTCACGATGACCACGTTGATTCTTAAGACTTAAACGCTCCAGTGCCAGATGCCAGCTGTGGACATCAGCACGGCCATCTGGTTATGCTCAAGTGGGCATGCCTCGTGCCAGGAAGACACCGAGCAGCCCTGCAACTCAGAACTTGCTTTCAAGCTGTGCTGTCCTGCTCTGACCAGTTACAGACTTTCCTGCTGCCCTTTTATTTTCCCTGTATCCCTCCCTTCCCTGTGACAGGGACAACCAGTATCTACCCCACCGATATAAGAAGGACCTTGTGGTGGGATAACCCCCAAGAACTGTAAAGTTATGAGCTTTAGTCTTTCTAGTTCATGTCCATGCCCAGCAGCTTGTGCCTGGCAAATGAGGGTGCGTCACAGTGCATGCGGTTCAGCTCCTTACCCCACCTGGCTTCTCACAGCACGTGCTGTTCTTGTGTCTCTCCTGTAGCATGGCCTGGGCCTCCTTCACCTGCTGCATGGCCTCTGCCGTCACCACTCTCAACACCTACACCAAGACGGTGCTGGAGTTCAAAAGGAACCACATCAAGGGCTACGACGGGAGCTTCAAGGACCAGCCTCAGCACCACCAGTGCTTCCTACAGCAGCAGATAAGCAGCTACTACGAGCCCCATGACAAGCCCCTCCATTCAGTCTCTGAGGGAGTCGACTTCTACTCTGAGCTGCAGCAGAAGGTGCTACAGCGGGAACCAGAGTTGGAGCTGGATGAGGTCTTGGGACAGACGATCGGGGAGGATCGCTGTTAGGGATGAGCACGCAGGGGCAGAGCAGCGGGGTTTGGGAGGCACGAGAGCTCTGAGCGGAACACTAGCACCACTGTTAGCAAGTTCTCCAGGAGCAATTCCTGCCTCCACGGTTTGGGGAGCGGGAAGAGAACACCAGGGCAACAGCAGTGCCAACAGGAGCAGGGTGGGTCCTCCCTGATCATGGTTTGATGGTGTCCTCAGCTGGGACAGGGACTGGAGGGACACGTTGGTGCCAGCTGTCTCCAAGCGCTTTCAGACAGAATCAAGGCAGATGTCCTAATCCCAGCAGTATTGCGCCTGGGAATAGTCAGTGCCATCCAGCTGGCAAATTGCAGTGGTGGTGTCACTCTTTGGGTGGTGTCACATTGGTGTTCCAGCAACCCTCCAGGCTCAGTGCTACGGTGAAGGGCATCAGTGCTCATATTGATTGGCCGTAATCCTCTCTGAACACCTTATTTATTCTTCATTTCCAGGCCCACCCCCCTCTTCTCCCTGCCCCTAGATTAAAAGTGCTGCTGCAGTAGGAATGGGAGGTTGCTTTCAGACACCTCCCTCCTGCTCTTTCCTATCTGTAATGACACCCACATGCTCTCTTCTTGCTTTTACCCCCAAAATCTCCCATTCTGAGGTACTTTCCCATCTGTCTCCTTCTACTGTGCTTCTCCACAACCTTTAAGAATCCTTGGCTGGGCTTTTGCTTTTTTCTTTGTTTCTCTTCACCTTGTCCCCTTTTCTCCATTGTAAAAATATCACAGACAATCCCCAAACCAAGCAAACTCCTAATCTCTCAAAGGTGAAACACTGGTTCACATGACACATGATGCTGTACAGAGTATTTATTTGCTCCACTTCAGTTCACAGTTCAAATACATTTTCCCAACGATATACAGACAGACTCTTTATTCACAGTGGGGATGTGTGTGTGTGCAGGCAGGGTGAATTCACATTATGGAGGAGCTAACATCACTGCACTTGAATATCAATTCTCTCAGGAAGAACCTCAGGAGAATAACTATTTCAGGTAACAGCCGCTTCACCTTTCCCAGCAAGGTGGTGGCTAGACAGGAGGGAAGGGGCACTCCTGTTTAATCCTCATATGTTACTGGTCCTCACACTATCAGTCCCTATTAGGCAGCTGTATTAACTAAGCCGTCTGGAGGAAAATGCCAGGCCTAGAGCCACTGCTACAGTTATGCTAATATATACAAAGCTATTTACACAAAAATACCATTAAACATATACAAACTGTTCACAGGCTCTGACATTAAGAGAGCAGGGCCCAAGGACCAGCCTTGGGACTTACAGCTAATCCTGAAGTGCTATCCTGGAAGCTTTATAGGGAGATGCAGGGACAGAGAAGAGAGAGGGTGATACAGCAAGGAGAGGTGTCAAGAGCCCAGGAGAGCAAAACCATGGTAGATATGCCCATATGGAGGGAGTGTCAAAGTCCTGCCATCACCTCACCACTCACAGGGAAGTGCAGGGAGGCTGGAAGGGCACGTGTCAGCAGGAGGATGGAAGAGTCCTTTGCAATCCTCATCTCAGCCTGGCTCTGCCTAACGTCAAAGGTCAGACCTAGAAAGGCATACCGGGAAGACAGTTCCTATATTGTTGTCCTGCGCTGTGGGGAGCTGCTGGGGCAACAAAGCAGTTGCTTTTTATATGGTCATTTATATTACAAGAAAATTCATGTAGATGCTCTGCAACTACAACACAGGAGACTGATGGCACACTCAGAGGCACAGTTCAAAGCACTAAACACACTGTGAGCAAACGTGCCCTGGGGGTAGTCTGCTCCTCCTGGAACTGCACATAGGGCTGGGCTGGCAAGGCTGGCAAGGGAATGGTTGAGCCCAGAATAGGGATAAAATGCACAAAAAAGCTTTCCAGTTCTGCCTCTGTCTAAGCCTCTAAACCCCGAAGCAGTGGTGTGAGAATCAGCTTTGCTGTGACTGGATCTAGTGTGATCTCCACAGTGCCAGCAGGGATCTGTTGGGAATCTATCCCAAAAGGGCTGTGATGCATTTGCAAAGGAGGACTCGGCCCACTGGACTGCAGTGTGATGTTACAGTGACACTTTGGCTTCATAAAAAGTTTAGGGATGGACAGAAATAAGATGTGAACCTTTTTGCTTCTACATCACCCACATGAACCTGTCCTGAACTTGGGACTGGGGAAAGAAATATACATGTACAAGGGCTGGCAAATGCTGTGGGGACCATCTTTCTCAAGATCAGGTGATTCAGCCAGAGAGCTAGTTTGTCTGTGAGTTTGGGGACAGAATGAAGAAGAGGGCTGAAAGCATAGGAAAGGCTGTAGGCAAGACTAGCCCCGCAGGAGCCAGACAGAGGCTTCTCTCCAAAAATATAAAGATTAAAGCAGGTGGTGTCCTTTAGCCACACCATTTGCCTTGAGTCATCATGGCCCACTCTAGGCCTAGAGCTTATTTGACTGCCTGGAAATACTGTCTGGACATAAAAAGGAGTGTCCTCAATCTCATTCATAAATTAAACATACAAAAAATATACATATATTGTATAAATTGATACACACATATATATATAAAAAACCTGGTTTTATATATATATATGTATGTATGTATGTATGTATGTATATAAATTCTAAATTCACATTTCTGTATTACCTGGAGGGAAGCATGCAAGAACGGCATATGGAGGGGGAGACGCTGAACAAGGTTCCTCTGGTACAGGACAGGTCTGCCCAGGACAAACCTGCCTCCAGCAGCATTCCTCAGAGAGCTGAAGCAGGGGGAAGTGCTTTTAGTCCCTCTATACAGCAGTTTTCCTGAAGATCCACAGAGCAGCTTCCTGTATTCCCCATACAGGCCATGGGTCCAACCAAAATCTGAGGAACCACCAGGCTAGAGCTGCAGAAGGAAAGGCAAACAAAAACTAAGGCCAAAACCTATTATCATCCAGTCTGGTAGAGGAAAGTGGTAATTCACAGGTCAGCAACTGAACTTGGGCACCAACTATATGGAGGACCCTTGTCTGCCCATGTCAAAACAAGTGATCCCTGTCCCACCTCTCTGTTCCCTCTGTGAGTCTCTCAGTCCCTTATCATCAGCATCCCTGGTTCTAAGATCCTCCTTGTCCAACTGCCAAAGTACAGCTGGGCTTCACAATCTGTCCAGCTTATGCCCAAAGGGGCAGCCAGTCATCTTGCAAACAGACTCTTTGCATCCCACCAGGCTCTTTGCATCTCAAAGAGCACCCAACTGTGTCTGGAGAGAAGAGATCAAATGTTTTCAAAGGCCTGGATTTCATTAGGGATTCCCGAACAAACTCACCTTCTGAGGAAAGTCAACAAATTTCAGCCGGGCAAGAAATCGCCTCACTTCTCCACGGCTGATTTTGGGAGTAGTGGTGTCCTTTAGCCACACCATTCGACCTTGACTCATCATGGCCCACTTCAGGCCCAGCTTGCTGACCGAGAGAAATCCTGGCTGTTTTTCAGAGGTTGCAGTTGTTGTCACAGTGATGTGAAATGCATCCTTCTGGAGATCGTTAATTCCAACTGGTCCATCAGAAAAGGGTGAGAAAATATTGGTGAGGAGTAAATGATTACATTTCTTCCAAAAGAAATCTTACAGTGTTTACTAAGTCAAAACATCCACTGGAGTGAGGGTATATACAGTCTGACTTTACAACTCCGTGGACCTTAGTTAATCAGGGAAAATTATTATAAGTTAAAAATTTTCCATGGAAATAAAGTGAAATTTAGATCAGAAATGGAAGGGTTTGGTTCCAGGTGATGTTTCTGAGCTTGACATAGGAGATGCACATACTTCAATAATGCAGTTCACTTTCAGCAGCTATTGTTTTACCTCTACAGAAGGGGAAACTGGTAAAGCACAGGCAAGTAAACTCACTCCAGCCACTGCAGAATGATCTGTACAGACCTCAGAAATCCCTCAGGTGCTACCTTTAATGGCACTACACCCCATTGTTTCTCACAGCTACCTCTCCCTCCGTATTTCTCTTGGCCTAGGTAGTTTCTCCTCCATTTGTACTCACCTGCTGAAGCAATGACTTTGTCTGTTGCATTAGTGAGGTCCAAAAGGACTGTAGGAAAAACAGGATGGAGGAGATAGAGGTGGTGCAGCCCTGGGCGCTCAGGTCTGGGACCAGGCTGCTGTTGGAACAAAGGACAGACAAAAATGTTACAGCTGGCTAGCAAAGAGGAGTTTAGCTTTGCCAAATAAATAAAGAAGTTTTCTGACACTGCCGTCTTTACATGGATCAGAGAATCAAAAACTATATGGTTTTACAGAGACGAAATCCTGCAAAGTTTTTTTTCTAAAACATAATTTGCTCCACAACTTCTGGTTGGTAAGGTTGAGATGTGACTCTGTCAAAGCCAGCTTGATGGGTGAAGCTACAGTCTGGAAGTTTGAGTCTCCCTGCTGACTTGTGTGCCTGCATGCAGAGAAGTAGTGCTCTGGGGCTGGGAACAAATCTGCAGTAAAAATATCTCAGTGTTGCAGAAAAAAAATGAAATTCACACGGAAAGTTTTGATTTTGTGGATGCAAACTTTCTGTCCACAAAGCTTTCTGGTGAAGACTTTGCACACAAAACCTCCTGCGTTCAGGCTCAGAGAAGTCAGAGTGTCAAAGCAAGAGGAAAAGATGTCCCTGACAGCCACCTTCTATGGCAGGTTTAAAGTTCAATTACATTAGGAATATAAGACAGAGACTGCACGTGCCTCAAAGTGAAGAAAGGATGCTTGCTCACCAAACTTTGTAACACAGGCTGTGCTTCATCAGCCCAGAAGAGAAAAACAGACTTCTTGTCCAAAGTCATGACTGACAGTGCATCGAGTTGTTGCTTCTGCCATGGGAGTTCCTGGTTCCAAACAGGGAGGCCGGATTTGCCATCTATCACCACCACCTCAAGGCAGGGGGAGAGACCTAGCATTAACAAGTGTCCAGGTGTGGGCGTACAGAGAGGCCCCTTGCAGTGGCATGGCCTGTGCTGTT